AATGTTTATCAGTGTGTGAAGTTTGATGCAAATATCTCGTACAGTTTTGTTTTTTGTTTTTTTTTTTTTGTTTTTTGTTTTTGTTTTTTTTTTTTTTGAAACCGAGGTACACGCAAAAAGAGGAATATTGAGTTTCGAGGACATAGAGAGGCCAAAGTGTAAAATTATGAAATAGTTGAATAATTCTCTATTCTATACGAAAGGATAATGAAATGAGATTACAATAAATATATTATCACTGATGAACAATTTAGATTTCAGGCTGGCCGCTCAACTAGCGATGCAATATTTATGTTAAAAGTTAAAGAACAAACGTTAACAACTTTCATATTCTGGTTTATTTATTACAAAAAAGTCTCTGATACAATTAACAGAGAAAAAAATTATGGTATAAACTGATAAAGTTTGGGATAACAGGAAAATTCCTCAGAATCATCCGATTGTTTTACATTGATGTACGTGCCTGTGACAGAATGTCCGAGGAATTTCCAGTAAAACCGGGGTATAACAAGGGGATGTACTAATCACCTATACTATTCAATATGTATGTTAACGACTTGGAAAATCATACTTGATAAATGTCCATTCGTAAAATTAAGGAAATTATCTTTTTGTTTTTTTAATGTTCGCAGATGACACCGTAATATTCGCTAACTCGCCAGGGGAACCACAGAATATGCACGACGCTTCACATGAATATGTTTCCTTGTGACATGTGACCGTAAACACTGCATGCAGCTGGAAAATCCAAAATGTTGGTATTCAGAAAAGCAGAATGCGTTAATTTTTCAAGGACTTATAACAACGAATTCTTGGAACTTAATTGTTCGACTCCTTCTACTAGGGTTGTGTTTACAACGGTAAATTTAATGTTACTTAAAAGAAATTAGCTGATCAAGGTCAAAAAGCATTATTTGGTTTGAACCATAATATTCAGAAGTTTGAATTCAACATGAAAACGCGTAATCAACTTTTTGATACATATGTTATTTCTCACGGAAGTGAAATTGGGGATTTCATAAATTACCAGAAATTAAAAGATTGCAATCAGTGGATGAGTTCTGATAGAGAATTTGTTTCCCTCTCTTAAGGAAAAAAAAAGAGAAAATGGTGGAAGACCTAAAAGAATAAAGGTCTACCTTGACCTTTCAGTTTTTGACCTTAAAGTCAGTAAGAATCTTTTAAGTACATGGCCGTAGGAACCGGGGGAGGCACGGGGGGGGCGTGCCCCCCCCCCCAATAATTTTGCCGATATATAGATTACTATAGTAAACATAGATACTATATGCTTGTGCCCCCTCAATAAAAACGTCTGATGACCTTTTTTTTTTTTTTTGCTTGTCAGGAAATTTTTGGTAGTGCCCCCTCAACTGTCAATTGAAAATGTATGGCTGTGCCCCCCCCTCCCCCAAACAGAATTTGCTTCCTATGGGCCTGAAGTAAAAGAATCCAATACCTTAAGTTTCGTTGCAAAATTAAACTAACAAAGAACTAAAGTTATGATCTGAAAACGATGTATGCAGTATATGAATTTCTGACCTTGATATTTGACCTTTTGACCTCAAAAACCAATAGGTTTTTTTGTTGTTGTTTTTTTTTTGGTTTTTTTTTGTTTTGTTTTGTTTTGTTTTGTTTTGTTTTTTGTTTGTTTGTTTGTTTGTTTTTTTATACTGACTAACTGTATAAAATTTTATTGCAAAATTTCACAGAGCAGAAGTCATTACTTGGAAACCATTTTATGGATACGAATTTTTTCCCTTGATCTTTTGACCTCAAAATCATCATGAGTCTTTTTAAAGTCATTAAGAGTTATGGCATAAAATTTCATTGCAAAGTTATTACCAGGAAACCATTTTTTCAATTTATGAATTTCTGACCTTGACCTTTGACTTTCGACCTCAATATCTTTTTAGGCCACAGGGAGTTGTGATAATAAATTTCGTTGCAAAAGCTCAAAGGCTTTTTTGAGATATTGTCTGGAAATGAAAGTGTTACATACAGAAAAAAGTATGAACTTCTGATCCTGATCTTTGACCTTTTGATCCCAGAATTGAAAGCGGACTTCTTTAAGACGTTGAGAGTTATGGTAAAAAATTTCATTGAAAAAGCTTGAAGAAAACTAACGTTATAATCTGGAAAACATTTTATTTCCAATAGATGAATTTCTGACCTTTACCTTTGACCGTTTGACTTCAAAATCAAAAAGTCCTCTTTAGGTCATAGGACTTGTGATATAAAATTTCGTTGCAAAAGCTCAAAGGCTTTTTGAGATATTGTCCGGAAACGAAAGTGTTAAACACAGACAGATTGTATGAATTTCTGACCTTTGACCTCAAAATCAATAAGTGTCTTCTTTAGGCAATAGAATATATGAACTTCTGATCCTGGCCGTTGACTTTTTGATCCCAAAATTGAAAGAGGTCTTCTTTAAGACATTGAGAGTTAAGGTATAAAATTTCATTGAAAAAGCTTGAAGAAAATTAAGTTATAATCTCGAAACCATTTTTTTTTTCAATGGATGAATTTCTGACCTTAATCTTTGGCCCTTGAGTTCAAAATCAGAAAGTGTTTTCTTTAGGCCATAGGGAGTTGTGATATAAAATTTAATTGTAAAAGATCAAAGGATTTTTGAGATATTGTCCGGAAACGAACGTGTTCCACACAGACAGATTGTATGAATTTCTGACCTTGACCTTTGACCTCAAAATCAATAAGGGGTCTTCTTTAGGCCATAGGGGGTTGAAATATTAATTCATTGCAAAAGTTCAAAGGCTTTTCGAGATGTCCGGAAACGAAAATGCAGTATATCCCTCACTTTCAGTGAAAAAGGGGGGTGGGGGCAAAAGTATCTTAAGTGATGTTTTGAAAGTGAGCTAAACACAAAATGGGGAATAGTGGGGTCAGAAAATTATGATACAGTTGAATAGCTCTCGTCAATGTCTATCAGTGTATAAATTTTGATATAAATATCTTGAATAGTTTCTTTATAGGTGAGATGAGCAGAAAGTTCAAATTCATAGGAAGGTTAGGGTCAGGAAATTATGATAAAGTTAGATAGCTCCCATTAATTTGAATTAGTGTATGAATTTTGATAAAAACATCTTTCAAGAGTGTCTTTGAAACTGCCCTCAACGCAAAGTATTACGGACGGATAGATGGAAGGACGTCTCGACAGCAATTTTATATAAATCAGGCCCCCGTTTTACAAAAGAACTATTAGATTAGAATGTAACTTTGCGAATAACTTTTTTTTATATATTAATTTGAAACTGGTCTCAATCTTTGAAAAGAAATAAGAGCGACATTTTTATGCCAGCACATTTTTAACAGAAACATTAATTTTGCAAGATTTTACAATCAACTGAAGTTTTTGGTCTTAGTCTTTTATTCTTTTGTAAATCTGACCTCAGATTCTCTATCCGCTCCTTTTTTTATTGTTGCTAAACCTCGTCAAAAAGGGGAGCGGATCGAGGATCTGATTTTAATCAGTTTAAGATCAACGGAAGACGGACATGACAAACACAACATGCCCTGGTCATATTCGTGGCGGGTCATAAAAATACATGTAGCCTCTAGAACAGCAAGGCCATGTTACTCGTATTATTGAAGCATCTAAATCTTGTATGGATTCAAGTTCAGTTGAATCATAACCTCTTGGGGCTGGTTTGGGGTCGCACTGTAGAGTCAAAATTTTTCATGGGATTAAAGGGGAGAAAAATCTTTCAAAGTCCACAAAGAATAATTTTTTTTTTCTATTTCTTGATTAGCATTTCCTAACAAGCGTGTTCAGAAATGGCTATTTTAAATCCCTAAACTCGAATGGGATTTATAGAATTAAATGTGAATCTGTTATGATTCTATTGTGAATCTAAAGGCACCTCTTATGAACAGAACCACTTTAAGTAACCACGACTATAATAAAGATATCCCGTATTTTTAAAATATATGTGCATTCCTAGTATGTGATTAAAAAATCGCAAAGATCTGGAATATACTGGTTGTATCTCTTGATTTATTTCCTCATATGGAAAACCTCGCTGAAGTCACTTAAATCTTTGATGTGGAAACCAACATGTACATTAGAGGGTAAAAAATAAAATGCCCATCCTCTGTGAGTCATTCCATTCAGTAGGCCTAAAGAAATGATTTTTAATTTCTCTGTCTGAGTGGGGCATAATTATTTGGATTTAGATACAAGTGACATGCATACAACATGATGAAAAATATGAATTATCCTAATTTTTAATTAACTGAAGCTGTTTATATGACTTTATTCTTACTTTCAGTATATATCCAAATGAGTTTTATTCTAATATAGCCTACATGTATAAAGTTCCATTGTTTAAACATAATTTACAATCTATAATGTCTTTCTTGAATGCGATTTTTTGTGCATTCATGCACTGCCTGGAACAGATCACGGTAGAAGAGAGAGAGAGAGAGAGAGAGAGAGAGAGAGAGAGAGAGAGAGAGAGAGAGATTTTAAAAATTATGAGCTAAAGCAAAGAAAGAAATTCAGGAAAGCAGATTTAATTCAATTTAACACATAACTGCTTTGACCAATTAACGCGATAAACTGAGTTGGTATCTATTAGCTATATACTGCTCATTGCAGGTGTAGCTTTAAATTTCAGCCGCATATCTAAGACCGTGTACAGATTAACAAAGAAATGCTGATGTAGCAAAGATATCTCTTATTAAAATTATATATTTATTGTAAAAAAAAAAATGCAATTCTTATATTTATAGTTAGGCTAGAAAATATTTGAAATATTGAAGAGATTAAATTAGCAACCTGTCACAGGAGGCGGATCTCGTTTTTCGTAAGGTGTAAATCAATAATCAGGTAATTCAAGTTATGAAGTTGTGATCCATTCAAGTAAAAGATAAATAAGTCAATATTTTTCTTGTCTCTAAATCACTTGTTTGTTTAATCTTTTCTCGACATTCCAATGCTACATTATTTCGGTGTAGCGGACCGCGGAGGAAAATATGAATCAATTGAGTTGTTCGGCCATATTGTATTTGTTCCGCCATTAGAAAGAGTGGATGTGTTTTGACTTTACTTCGATATGGATTCCTGTTTATGTTATGTTTGATTGGAGTTCAGATGTCCCTTCCTCATTATCTATTGACTATTACAAGTCAATTAACGAGGATGACTTTTGCCTCCTGACTAGGATTTTCCGATGGAAGGCGATCAAAGAAAACAACAGCGCTTCACAAAACGCCGCGAAAGAGTGCACAGTAAGCTAGACCCGGACGGGGGCAAAGATGAGATGGACAGTTCTCCCTCTCGGTCGGATAGCGACAAACCCAGGGCCAAGCCACCTCGACGACGGAGGAACCGTTCCCATTCTCATGATGAAGACATTATTGATGGATTTGCCATCCTAAGTTTTAAATCTTTAGAAGATTTGGTAAGTTTGATAAACTGACTTCAATGACTTACAACATTTTCTACACACCATATATCACCGTGTATTTTGTTTGAGTTAGTGCCTTGAAAACATATTTAGAGTGTTGAAAGCATTAAGATGTTTATGCTTTATCAAGAGATGTGGGACGAAGAAAGATGTAATTTAATCCGAGATTCCTCTGGCCATCATAATCATTCATGGTCTCTCCCCAGGATATTGTGCCTTATGGTCTGGCATTTCTGGTTCCAGTATTGTTCTCATTAAGTGCAATAATCTATAAACAAATTTATTTAAATGGATTTTACTCTGTCATTTGTATATTTATCATGAAATTTACAATCAGCTGATCAGCCTAGACATCAGTCCTGATTAATTATCATGTGTATTGAACTACTATCTAAGGCAGTGGATCAATTATTCTACTGTCACATTCTTTTGACTTTTGTCTGCATAGTAAATGACCATTAAATGTATTATGATGAGAATAATTATTTTATTTTATCATCGTTCAAACAATAATGTTGCCATAATTTTTATTAAAATTCAATCATGCACATATGACATCGACCATGTTAACAATTTGAACAACATGAACATAGGCCTAAAGTGCACGGCACAGAATGAAGAATTATATCAAAGAAATCAAAAGGGGTATAAAATAAAATTGTATTTTATTTTAATCAGTCATCTTTTTTTTATCTTTTTGATACAAAAAAAAAAATGAAATGTACAGAAAAATTGCTAGCAGTTTGAATAAAAAAGTGTTCCTTCAGCACACTTATTATTAAAAAAGAGAGATGGTATTCAATGCACTTACTGCAAAAAATCCCTATATTTTGGAATTTTTGGGAGATCAGTATCAAGCAGTGTTTAATTTGTTATGGAAACATTTCTGGTATAAAAAGTTGTCACAGTCATTACTGAGGAAAATAAACCCTGATTGGATACGGAGGACAGTCTTTTATGTTGAAAGCTTAGGTGATAATCTTGTGAAATATAATGATCTGAATTCAAGGCATCATTAAGAAATATCTGAAATGTTATGATAAAGGTATCATAGTTTTTAGTTATTTTTTCTATGTGGGAATGAAGTAGAATCCCACTCTAAGAATTTGTTCTTGATAAGGCAAATTTTACTGAGATATTACAATTTTAAAAATGGATGCTAGTAAATTTAGATTGTTGCAATTGTAAAGTTTAAGAATAAGGACCACCTTAATATTTTTCAAGGGCAATTTTGAAGAAAATCCCTTAGAGGTGATAATGAAAACTGATATATTTTAATAAAAGATCAGTGTAACATTTGTATACGATAATATGTTGTGTTATTATGTATTTAGCAACTTATTCATTTTTAAGTGGATGTAATTTACACCACATAATTAGTGTCTGTGATAAATCATGAGCAAGAATGATGAAATAGAATTTAATAAAAGTATATTTATATATATATGTAGGACTACATTCTTCATCCTATCAAAATTAGCAAGAAGATTGTATAGCTTTACAAAGGATGCATAGACAATCAAATCAATCTTGTTAACATTTTGTTTGGTGTTACCTTCAAAATTCCAAGACTCAACAAAATCATTTCAATGAATTAAGAAATATTGGTACTATGCACAATACCTGAAATGTTCAATGTGTGAATTTGATGAACTTTACTCTGCCTGTCTTACTGAAAGCTATGTAATGGCAGTGTCTAATTTAATCTGATGTGAAGTATTTTTCCCTATTGCACAAAAACAGATTAAAATTTTCGAACATGAATTTCCTCTTGTTGCTCTGAGGTGAACCAATACTCAAGTAGGTGTACAAATATTATAGTGTAGACTGTAGATAGTCATACAGTGTTAGATGATTCTGATAAACAGCCATGTAGCTTCAAATGACAGTGCTTGTTTTGTTAAGTTCATATTAGATGGGTTTTCATATTTATAGAAACATTCTTTCAGTGCACCTTATATAATAAATTCATCCAGTGGTAATACTTGAAGTTAATTGATTGGTGCATGCAAGCTATGTCATCCCACAGCATACAACAGAACAAAGGAAAGTCTAACAGTTTTTTATCGTTTGTACTTTCCTTTCAGAACAACTTGATGAAACCCTCGAAAACCATTGAACAGAAAGACAAAAAGAATGATTTTGTTAAAAGAAAGAAAAAGAAGACAAGAATAAAGGTAGTGTTGATGTTTACTGATTATATGTCATTAAGAGGATTGTTACATAACAGGGCTGTGATCAGACTTCAGAGCTCTGGAAACCTGAATTGTCAGGCTTTAACCTTCTAAACAAACATCAGATTTCGTTACAACATCTGACAATGCACAGTTTTAGAATTGTTAAAAATTTTAAAAATGAAGGATCAGTAAAATGAAAAAAAATCAATTGTGAACAGGTGACATATGCAGTTGGTATGTCTTGAAATATGAACATGTGTTTTCAGTTATTAGATTTCTTTGAGGGGAAATTTGAAGGAAGGAAAATATTAAATGATCAGTGGAGGTGGTTATTGACACAAGTTTGACTAGATTTTTGTTTGTAGTGGATGTACTGTTGAGATTCTGTTTGGTTTAGAAGACTTTTACAATAGAGTAGCCAGTTAACTTTAAACTCAGGTTGATTCATGTTGGGAAATGTGTCATACGAATATTGTGAAAATTAAACAGTGTCAAGGTTCTTATAATCATTCCAGTAAAACCAATTTATTACCCCCACACCAATATTTTCTCTCTGAGTCATTATCCCCCTTTTTTATCTGATTGTCACTATAATAAATCACATGCAAAGTAGTTACACAAATATGTTTTCTCACATTATTTCTTTCAGTTGGATTCACCATGTAAATATGTGGACATTCTTTCACTGTTTCTCAACATGTGATAGTTTTCTATGACAGAGTCCTCAATGTACTTCATACACAAACCCTTTCCCCCATTAATACCCCCTTTTATAAAGATTTTGGGATAAGCCGCTGCTATAAACAGAAAAGGAGTGACATGGTTAGAAAGGACAAGCCTGGGTCACAGGGTGGGTAATGAGAGTGATGGATGAATTAGTCCTCTGTATAAAAGCTGTCAATGAGAGAGACTCGCGCATGTCATGACAGGAGACTAATAATTAGCTCACATGCAACTGATAAGAATTCTGGAAAAAAACTGCCCTCTAGGAGCAATGATACACTGGATTACATTGTCATGTTTTAATGTAATATGCATGCCTTTAATGTTAAGCTAACCACTTTCAATACCTTTATTCCTTTTAGAGGGGGAGTCATATGCCACAGTGAAAATAAGTGTAATACTCACTGGGAGGCTAAGTTCCACAGCCTGGAGCCCGTTTTAAAATTGGCTCAATGCTTGATTTAATTCAAGATAGATTTTGCGTATAGTGCAGTCATAATTAGAAGAATGGTAGCCAGGATTATGAGAGGCTAGCTGTAGGCTTCTCTTTAAATGTGCACTTTTCAGATTTATTTTGTCAAGCATGATGATTGCCCTTTCATGTCCTTAAAAATACGGCATTTTATTATAGATTCAAAATGTTATATCAGTACTTCTTATTCATTTTAAATATTCTGTCATTATATCTGGAGTCAATTCAGATGCTGAGTGTATTTACCATACATCCCTTGGTTGGCCCTTGATATGTGAATAAATACACAATATATATTACAAGACAATCTACCTTATAGATGCAAATTAATTTTGATTTTTCGTTAAGACCTAATGTGTCTAATTTGCATCAATCTTATGATCTTATGTTACCCACTGGCCAGAACTATTTGGAGATAATTGTATTGAAATCTCCTCCATATCCCTCTGAGTGATCTCCCCTACATACATCTGTAGGAATTTTCTATGAATATGAAAATAAGTAATATTACAAATACTTTAGACATTGCTAAAAGAGTACTAAAATATCTTGTGATTTATGACATTATATCAGCGTAAATTATAACACTGTGTCATCATCTTCTGGTCGTTTCTGAAGTGAGATGTTAAGGTTAACAAGTGCTCTGTAATTCGTAATTTGATAAAATTGATCATCAAGTTTAAGTTAAATGTTTTTATTTCTATGCTTTACTCTACTACTTAGGAAAATAGAAGATCTGTAATTTTAATAATGTATTATTATATAATATATCCACTTGTCTGTTAGTTTAATTTTGTAACAGGCACTCTAATTGACCTCTTACTTTCTCTTTGTATGATCAGTATCAGTGTTTAATAATTGTTTAACTGGAATATATCTTATTATATGATATTAATTACTAATTCTGACCTTTAAGAAGGTACTTAGAGAGAGAGAGTGGAAGTAAAATACAATATATATTAATTGTAATTAATGTCAAAATGTAAGATGCCAAAAAATAACAACCTGCATTAAGCTTGATACACAAATTATACATATCTTCCTGTGCGGTCTAGAACTGAAGTAATCATACACAGAATTCTGTTGATGTGACTAAGACTGAAAAAGGATTACGAAAAAAAACCCCTCAATTTTGATATGATTAGTTTAAAATTCTGGAGGAAAAAGCTGTTGAGAAAGATTTTAAATTTGCTCAACGGACACAAATGCAGAGATTTGTTATTCTTCATTTCCATACAACACTGCTTTTGATATCTCATACCTGAAATAAAAAAATATTAGAATCATACAAAATCATACAAATTATTATGGCTCTTTATACATTTTGTTTATAATTTTCTTATTATTGTTTTCCTTATAATAGAAATTTATTCAAAAAATATGAAATTTGAGTTGCAAATAAAAAAAAATGATTTGAAATTTTTAAAAATATTTATTTATGACATGCATGTATACTACTTTCCCTGTGCATTTTTAACATGATAAGAAATTTTGTTTGCTTCAGTACCATGCAATTTTTCTTTCTTTCAGATTTGCTAAACAAATACAATTTATCTGCATGTTATCTCTGTCACTATCATCATTATTTTTTTTAATTATTAATTTCAGTTATTTACTAATTTACAAGTACAAATGTTTAAAAGATCACTTAATACTTTTTTAATTTTGTAAAGGACTGAATTCAAAATCAAGTGTATGATACGAAATCTAATGGAAAATTGATTTTTATGAAATTCTTGATGAGCAAATTGATGTTCAACAAGTAATGTATTGGACTATAATATAAAAATGGATATATTAAAGGTAATGCTACCATGTATAGAGTGATTATTAACATGGATTGACATTAAGAGTGTAGAATTGCATATAATTTACATGAATTTCCTGAGCCAGAGATTTCAGGATAATGAGGATTTGTTAAACATATTGGAATTATATCTAGGGTCTATGATTCGTTATTGATGATAATTTCTGTTTTTCTCATTGCTAACCTGCACAGATTCCCTATGACTATTAGATTTATGTGATTTTAGATTTGGGGAATGGTTTCATTCAAAATTCAAGCACAGGCAATTTAGGGTTAGGTAACTAGAATTGACTATTGAAATAGTTGCTGAATATGTGACCTTTTAACACAATCTCTAACAAGTGGGGGTGAGGGTAGGGATTGCTGATTGCAGTGCAGGAGGCTCCCCTAAATTCCCTGAAACTTTCTGTGTGCCAAGAAATTTTTTTCTATCCATATTGTAATTTTTATAAAATTGATTAATGCAAAGGGTTAGATTTTATGCTCTCATGTGGTATAATGCCCCATATAAATGCACATTCATATGAAGCATGAAGGAGTTAAGAGTGTCATATGAAGACTTGTACATCTCCTAGAGGTCTGATAGACAGAGTAATACTGAGTCAATGTCTTTGTCTGGAAATGTACCTGTGTACGTTTGTCAGTATTGAGAAAATGTAGATAAGTTGGGAAATTTCAGGACATATATAAACTAAGAGAGACAGGACCAGATCTAGAAGTAAACTTTTGGTTCGGTCATGTAACCCAGTGAATGCACTTCATCACTCAAAAATGTATTATAGAATGTAATGGGCAGTGGCTTGACTTCATCCTCTTGACTCATTCAATTTTTGAAGAACTTTCTTGGAAAACAACTGCCATAAGATATGCTGTCAGAGTTCTAATGCAAAACTTGACGTTTGTGTAAACAAACAAAGGAGAGGGCAGTTGATGAGAGAACTCCTTTGTCTGGTGTCTTGAAGACTTCTGTAACTTCTGGTTAAAAGTTCCTTGCTGGCCGACTTTTCATTTTCTTAGTGAAGATAATCCTTGTGTTAGCTTCAGCATCAGGTGCCTTGTAATAGTTTTCTTGTTTTCTTATTACTGATAGGATTAATTAATTTTGTTCATGTGAAACAAGCAAGGAAATGCATCTCTCTGCATGCAGAGTTCTATGGTTTCCATATCGCTTTTTGTATTCATTACAAATGAACACTACAAAGAACTTTGTCATCCATGGATGATTTGTTACAATTTTTTAGAGAAAGGAAGATACCAAGACAGAAGTTGCTCAGAGCTAACATAGCATAACTTTGCATTGCATTGATATCAAGATGTATAATGTATTAGGTGATTTATATGTATCAGATAGAGCTCAAGTCAACATTAAGATACATCTAACTGACGGAGTCTAGTTATGTCTGGATTTATAAGTTTCCTATTGCAGTAAGCCTGATCAAGGTGTAATGGACAGTTTAAGGTTTCATTTTAGTTTTAAAAAAATTCAGTACAGTAAATGGTGTGACTGAACATAGATATAAAAACCTAGTCATTTTTTAACTCCGAAATGTCTGAATTTTCACTGTAAGTTTACTTTTACTCTGAATTTATACAAGTTGTATTTTAAATCCCCATCACATTTCCCAAAATGACCAATGGCTGATGGTTTTTGAGGCAAAAATAGGATTCTTCTGGCGACAGTTGGCAGTACATTGGCTGTTGTCTTGCCCGACTATGACCTCTTTTTTTATCGGCTGACCAATTTTGTGTCCGTTGAGCAAATTTAAAATTTTTCTACGTCAGTGGCCGATTCCTTCAATTGCAGCAGTCCTTGAATAGTCCGCCAACCAACCTTCGATCATCGTCCGACCATCAGCAGACAGTTTGTTAAGTCAGTTGTTGGTCAGTTGACATTTAGGAATTGTGTTTTTGTAAATGTCGACCAACAGTGAAAGTCAAACTGCAGCTCAGCAAACAATGATCGGACGACGGTTGGTCGAGTCATAAATATTTTTAACT